TATGATATATGTCTGTTATATATGATATGTAACATGTGCTATATAATATCTCTTATATCTTATATATTATATCTTATATCTTATTTCATATTAATATACCTAAATTCTACCAACAGTTACAATCGAAGGTCTGACGTTACATTCACTGAAGGGCTTGTAAAGTTGGATCCAAAGTAGAGACAGGTTATCAAAGAGCAAACTTAAATAGAAATGGGAGCACACAAGGAAGCTGCCAGGAGTTTTGGGAGAAGGAAGTGCCGAGGCTCACCAGACCGTCCCAGCTCGCAGGCCCTGGGACACATAGTTTGCTTTGTCAAGATCCTTTGTAAAGACGGCTGCTGCGAGGCCGTACTTGGAGTCATTTGCTCTCTCGATGACTTCCTCAATTGTTTTGAATTTCAGAATCTGCATGACCGGCCCAAATATCTGCAAAATCCAAAGAGAGCATGTGAGAATCTGTGTAAATCAGGGGGGAGGCTGTGGTTGATGCTGGAGCTATGTATGTATGGTAGAAGTCACACAGGACATCAAGTTCAAAGTATCACTTCCTGCATTACAAAGTGCCCAGGACGTGGGAACTTCCTAAGAAGCACCGAGTTTTGCACTTCATGAATGTCCAGTGCTTTTTTTTTGCATCAGAGGGGGCAAAATGACACAGAAGTGAGAAGCTGACGGACAGAAAGGCGCTGCAGGGCTCACCTCCTCTCTGGCAATCGTCATGTTGTCCTGCACATCACCGAAGATGGTTGGCTGGACAAAGTACCCTCTGTCTGCAGCGGCGTTGCCACCACACAGCAGTTTGGCTCCTTCACGCTTCCCGCTACTGATGTAACCGAGGATCTTCTTAAACTGCTCTTCATCGACCTAGGAGCCGTGGGGACAGACAGATCAGCTTCAGCTTCACTGCGGGTAAAAAAGGATTCAACCCCAACCTGCTGTGCATGCGACTGCTCCAGGAATTCCTCGTTTCAGCAGCCTGCCTGGCCAGCTTCAAAGGGAGATGGTAATTTCTAAATGCCAGCATCACGGGGAGGTTTTGGACTAATCAGAATGGTTCATTAACTTCTCCCTCCGGCACATGCAAGGGCGCAGTTCAAAGGAGATTAATCACAAGACCAAAGGATAACTCTCACTCTAATCTGCTGATGCACAGTGGCTCAAGATTGGGACTATTCCATGAGATAACAGATCGGGACATTTCCTCCTCTTACCTGAGGGCCCTGTTCAGTTTTGGAGTCAAACGGGTTTCCAACCACCCTGGACTTGGCCTTCTCCACGCTCCTCTCCACAAACTCATGATAAATATCTTCCTGGACGTACGTTCGGGATCCAGCACAGCAGCACTGTCCTTGGTTGAAGAAGAGGGCAAAATGGGCTTGATCCACAGCCCAGTCCACTAAGATTGGGGAGAGGAGAGAAAACAAATAAGCAAACAAAACCAACCAGTGAGTGATTTCTTTTGAGGAGTTATCATGTGGACTGCTGGAGTATCAGCGATACAAAGTCCTTTCAGCTGACAGGCATTTTCCATGCTTTGGTAGGGCAGAAATTACATACAGATTTAATTAATATGACTGTCTATTAAAACACCCCATACTAGAGAAAAAAAAAATCTAATCTGAGGCAGATTACAGTTCTCATTTGAAATTATCACGTATTAGGGACAAGTTATTTTAGGTCTAGAAGGCTTTCCTTGCTTTTCCTCCATATAAAAGCAAGTGTCTTGGCTCATCAAGTTTAATCCGAGGCAGATTACAGTTCTCATTTGAAGTTATCAGGTATTACGGACAAGTTATTTTAGATCTAGAAGACTTTCCTTGCTTATTGCCATATAAAAGCAAGTGTCTTGGCTCATCAAGACCAAAAATGAGTCTACATGCAAGAGATGAGGGAACTGGAACTTCCTCAGAGGAGAAAAGAGCAGAACACACTAAGAGAAAGAAATGGAAACAAAAATAGAACTGAGACAGAAGGACGATACTGAAATAATCCTCGTTTGCTGATAACTGAGCTCCTTCACAGCCCTGGGAAAGAAGTGGGAGTGAAGCAGCGCCGGTACACAAATACAGGAGCTGCAGCAGGAGGCACAGGGACTTCACCAGGTGCTGTCAGAGCTGGAGAGGTTTCCTTTCCCTCCAGCTCCGCTCGCATAAAGCCGATGTCAGAGGTAGAGATCACACAAGACGCTAGCAGTGCTTACTGTCTGCATCAGACATGATTATGTTGGGACTCTTTCCTCCCAGCTCCAGGGTCACCCTCTTTAGGTTACTCTCTGCCGCTGCCTTCTGGATCAGGTGCCCAACCTGCATGGGGAGAAGAACGGGTATTAGGAATTACCTCTGACACACAGGACACTTGGTTTTAGATCTCAGTGGTTTAATAATAATCCCTCCATTGTCAGGGCTTTAAGGGAACAACTGAAATCTGCCCAGAGCTTCACCTCTACTAAGAAGCAGCTCAAGGGAAATGATATTCTAAAGAAAGAACCTAAAAAGAGTCTTATGTAAAGTAAAAATAAACGTCACCCACTGAAGTCAGCTGCATTTTTAAAAAAGAAGTGTAGAAGACAAGGCCCCTCCAGTGTTTTATACAGAAAAGGTGTTACAGTAATGAGATATTCTCCATATCCCAAGGGGGTTAAGGTTCGCCCTCACCTCCGTGGAGCCAGTGAAGGCCACTTTGTCTACGTCCATGTGGGAAGAGATGGCAGCCCCTGCGGTGGGCCCATAGCCAGGTACGATGTTCACCACGCCCGGGGGGAATCCAGCCTGCGGGTTCCCAGCAGGAGAGAGCAACGTTATTCATTTTACAAATCAGGGACTTTTTACCCTCATCTGTTAGTAACACTGCCTTCCACAAAGAACGGAGCCTTTTCTACGTCACTTGAGCTTCCCCAGTCTTTAGTTTTCATGTTGAGTTTGCAAGAACCAGGACAGCTCCTCTGCCCCACATCCTAAGCAGAGTTTGGAGCTGCACGTCAGCTTTCTAATCACCCCAAAGTTTGTTATTTAACTGAACCTCAAAGAGTCCTTCCCTAATCAAGACTTATGTCCTCTGCAGACGCATTTATAAGGACAAGGGTTTTGTTTGCTAAGATACCCGAGACAATCCAGCCTTTCACCAGACCAAACAGCCCTCCTCTGTTCCTGCCGCATGCCCCCCGCAGCTCACAAGTTTGGCTGTGTCACCCCGCACTCCAGCAGCAATAGTGGATGGAAACACAGCCTTTCCCTCACCTCTTTGATCAAATTAGCCACGTAGAGAGCGCTCAGCGGGGTTTGCTCCGCCACTTTCATCACCACCACGTTCCCAGTGGCCAGGGCAGGCCCCAGTTTCCAAGCTTGCATCAACAGCGGGAAGTTCCACTGAAAAACAAGGAGGTGTTTGCTGGGCTGAACCTGAAAGTTTCTGATTCCTCAGTAAGGAATTAATCTTCACTGTCAGTTTAACTGTTAAACGCTCTTTTGAGGCGATTTGAAAGCAAGCCTGTTTGTAACGACAGGGCAGTGCAGGCAGACCAGTGAGGGGTTTACATTCAGTTCTTGCTCAATGCAAATATGAAAAACATGCAAATACAGCATGCAACAACCAGAATCTGACTACTCCCGTGAAGAGGTAACACTGTCCACGGATCACTGGGTAAATACGGCTTTGTTCTTGACAAACCACCTTGCTACCAGTGACAGAAATAAGATCAGGCACATAAAGCTGAATTTGCAAGCTAGCTCTCTACTTCCTCATCACACAGAATTCTGGGCTTAATGTTAGGCAGTGGTTTAAACTTCACTGTGGTTCTGAGCCACACAACTCCCATAAAGGGGTTTAAGTTTTTTTTAATCAGCAGATACCAAGTAAATCTTACCCAGAGCCCAGGAAATCCACAAGTAGCTTTGTACAGCAGGAGCAACAAACAGCCCTCCCAGCTGGTGCAAGCACAAGTTTCTTTACCACTGGAGGAAGCAGTGGTTAGCAACAGATAATAAGTTGCATTTTAAGCCAGCTCTTCATGGTCACACTGAACTCCTGACGTGCTGCAGGAACTACTGATACACTTCACTCACCGGGATTATCTGCCCACAAACTCCCACCGGCTCATGTCTTGTGTAACAGAAGAAGTCTCCGTCTATCGGGATGGTTTTGCCATGGAATTTATCCGACCAGCCTGCGTAGTATCTAGCAACGATAAAGTTTAAGTCACTGAGTTCAAAATAACAAGTCTGCTGTCAGCAGAAAATCGGAGACTTCCTCCAGCTGTTTGCTTTCCTCCCTTCTTCAGCCACTTCATAAAGCACATACCAATGGAAATATTTCCCAAAGAGGTGATTTTAAGAACGGGCAATAAATGAAAGCATTTAATAAAACAATAAAGTGCTGTCACTGCAGCCTCCACGCCTACCTGAGACATTTGACCACCATGTCCAAATCCACCAGGTAGGAGATAGAGTACGGTTTGCCATTATCCAGGGTCTCCAGCGCCTGCAGAAGACAATGAGATTGCCTGAAGAGCGACGTGGGGAAAGTCATGCATGTATATTTAGATTCACTCTCAGTTTGTGATTCGGATCCGTTCTGCATTATGGCCTTTTTGCTTTCAGCTTCCCAAACCCCCTTCTCCATCCTTTTTAGCGTTCTCTCTCAGTTTTAGCTGTGGCTAAAGTCCCCATTGCACCCGATGGGCACAAATTCCCTGTTTCTGCCTCCCTCTCCCCGCAGCCAGGGATCGCAGCAGCGTGCTCAGCCGCAGAGCGCCATACGCACCGCCAGGTACGCCCGGTCCCTCTCGATCAGGTCAGCCAGGCGATTCAGCAGCTTCCCCCGATGAGAAGCATCCATCCTCCTCCAAGGAGAGCCCAGCTGGAAAGCCGCCTTGGCTGCCTTAACGGCCTTGTCCACATCTGCCTGCAGAGGAATCCAACCAAGAAGGTGAGAAAAGGAGTAACCAGTCCCCACTCACTCTCCCAAAATACATCTGAAGCCCTCCCTGGTCTCCAGGAGCAAGCAGCCTCCAGGCAGATGGCCCAAGCGCCTGTGAGTGCCACTTTTTTGAGAGCAAGAACTTGCAGCCTTGACAGCCCCTTTTTTTGACACT